CCTTCTTTGATTGTCTACGAGCAGAGGTAGAGCAGTATGACATTGACGTGACGGTTGTAAGCCCCGGATACATTCAGACAAACCTCTCTCTCAATGCTGTGACAGCAGATGGATCTCGCTATGGAGGTGAGATACAATTTTGTGCCCTGTATCTAAAACATCTCCACCTCACTCAGTTACTCCAAAGTGTGCTTGCAACATACGGCCTCTGGTGGGGCCACAGGTTAGCCCTGAAGTATCAAAAGACAACTTTGGATGCAGGGTAGGAACAGTAACCCCCCTAAATTTAGCCTTCCTAGACAGCAACTACTGACTTTCTAGCCCAAGCATGAATTATACCTGCCTGTGCTCCCATACGCAACTGGTGTAAAAACCAGAACGATACAAGCAGCCATGTACAGTTAGAACTGAGCATTCCTAGGAATAGTACTTAAGCGTGGGCTTACCTGCTGGCGTTGGTGCTTACTTGGCTTTCTGTTGGCAGTTATGGACAAGAACACTGCTGAAGGACAGACGGCCGCAGAGGTCGCTCAGGTGGTTCTCAACGCCGTGGGACGGAAGAAGAAGGAAGTACTTGTAGCTGGCCTAACACCCTCCCTGGCTGTCTACCTGCGAAACCTCTTCCCCAGGCTCTTCTTCACCTTAATGGCAGCTAGGGCGAAAAAGGAGAGAAAAGCAAAGGACTCTTAGAGCTCAGCTCATTCAAGCAGTAACTGCAGGGAGAGGCTAACCCCCTGCAGTTCAGCTGGGACATCAGCGGAGATACTCCTGCAGGAAAAACCTTTCTCAAAATGCTGCAATTTACCGTTACATGGGGAGTGGGAAGCGGTTTCCCCCATGTCAGGGCAGGCCCACTTGCTGGGACACAGTGCCTAAACCTCGCCTGAAGAAGGGTGCTTGGACAAAGGGGAGAGCTGAGGCTGCAGGGGAGGTAACTCAAGGGAACACCTTTGCAGCCTGGGAGGCCCATGTGCTGGAAGACAGCACCTTACCTCACCTCATTCCAGGCATGCTCAGCTTTACTGGCCTGCTACAAATAAAACCCAGCTGTTTTGCCTTCACACAAGCAGATCTTTGCTTTCCCCACCCTGTGGCCCCTGTGAAATACAGCCCTCGGCTGGGAGCTCTCGTGATCAGTGTCTCCTTCCCACTCCTTCCAATCTCATCTAGAACACTTCACTTGAAGTGGGGAACTTCACAGAACCTCTGCTTGTTAACATGCCAAATCATCTGATGGGTTCAGCTAAAGTCAAGTCCAGTGCCACTTTTAAAGAAGTAACTGATGTAAAATTTAAGTTTTATTTGGCAATTGTCTGAATCATGCCTTGCTGATGTACAGCGACATTTAGCTCTGCGCTGACAGTCCAGTATTAACCCCAGCACCAGTTAATGCCGGGGAAGCACTGAACAGTTAGAAAATAGCACAGCAAGCTCTGCTGTTGTGTGTAAACACAGCGCAGCTGATCGCAGCACTCCTGGTCCGCCTGCAGGCCTAGAGCACTGGAGTAGGTGCCATCCCGTAGATGCCAGGCACGCTGTCTCCTGGCAAGCAGAGGAGAATCTGTGTGCGGAGGGTGGACAGCGTAGGAGACAGACCCTTAGTTCTCATCTGTTTTAAAGCAATCACGGATGCTAATTAGGATCACAGCCATTAGGGGAACAATACCTGCCTGTTCACATACCACAGGCTTCAGGGAGTCGAGAGTGCTGTATTCCACTCTTCACCCCTCCTCCTCCCGTGAGGGATACCAGCACCACTAGGAAAAAGGAGTGGCTGCACAGAGATAGTTCAGTAAGGACAGAAATGATCTTTTTTAACTTATAACTGAAATAAAACCTACTAGCAGGAACCAAGGTCCAGACCCCTGCTGCCGCCTCCGTGCCCTTACCAGTATTCTCCACGCGCACTGCCTTGTATGTCCTGCCTGTGAGTGCACATCTGATGACAAATAAATTACACTGCTATGAAATTAATCCTTTGTTCTACTTCAGCTCCTCACAGCAGGTAACATTAGAGGAAGGGAAAGCAGGAGGGTTTTGTTTTCCTTTTCTTACATTCCTGCAAGGTGCTATTGTACCACTGGTAGTTGCAGAACAACATACCTCCATCCCATACCAGCCCTCTTTACATCATCTGCTAGCGTACGGTAGACACAGTGTGAATCCACACAGAGGATTAGTCACGCTAAAACTCAGGTTTTATACAGGTGTGCAGCTCAGCAGGGCCACCTTCTTCAAAAAGCCTTTTCTTGACCATTACAGATTTATAAATGATCTCTGAGAATCCATCCCAGATGACGACCAGAACATGTTTAATGATCATAATGCTGCTGCTCACTTGGGACATCCTCTACTGTTTTTGCTGAGGTTGCAGATTTGTTACATAAATTACAAGTTGAAGCTTTCAGGTGTATCTTTTTTTCCTGTTAAGAGAGGAAACCGAGGCATTACCTTCTCTCCCTCTCCCCAAAGGGAATTTCTGTAAGCGTTAGTTGTGCTTTTCCTTTCACGCTTTGCATGTTCAGGTCCTCCATTTCTTGGTAAAATACACTACTCCTGCCAGGCTTGTCCAGCTGCTCCGTCTTCTGGTGTTTCAGGTCATGGCTACCCAGGAAGGACCGAGGGGCCACTTGCATTTCTGTGTTATCAGCCAGGGTGCTGAGGGGTGTAACACATCAGGCCTGAGGAAAGAAAATTATGTGTGGGGAGTTACCATAGTTACCGTTTGCACTACCACTCCAACTCAAGAGGTTACCGAGAGCATGCACGTTCTCCTTTGAAAGTAAATTCCCGCTCCGTGACGAGAGGAATGTAGCACACTCCCAACGGTCAGGATGGGCAGCAAAGTGTGCGGGGCTTTTGGAAGGGAGGCTTGTCCCCAGCCACCGTCACCCACAGCTGCCGGCACGGGGGGAAGGCAAGCATCCATGCGATGCAGCGAAACGCACGACCCTCGGGACCCCTCTCCTCCCAGGTTACGCAGTTACAGCACTGACTGACCTACAGCCAGGATGGCACCAAGCGTTTTAGCTAGATTATCACTAACATTTCTTGGAAAGCAAGCCCTCCTACCCCCCCGTCCCCTCTCCACCTCAGAACGGAGTGAAGGGTGCGTTTTTAAAACAGACCTACCTGTTGTGACAGCTAAGCTGACTTTTCCTCCTGCAATAAGAGACCGGAGGAAACTTGCTCATTCTTAACTCCAGAGCCCAATGCAAACCACGCGGTTAGGGAGCCTACCAAGGGTCAGTCCTCCTGCCATCGTCATCATTCCAGGCAAGGGAAAGCTTGACACAAAAAAGTGCCAGGACAACAGAGTTTTGGTGAAGAAAAGGATCTAACAGCCCTGACAATTATCCTGCATTGATTAAAAAAAGAGCAGGAACAGCTTTTGTGTGGCCAACATTAAGGGTATTTCAGGGCCTTCTGCAGCAATAAAGTACATATTAGCTATGGCAGATCTGCCACTAGTTTAAAATTCATCCAGTAGACGGGACTTTAGGAGCAAACGTCAGGACTCAAAAGGCAGCCTGCCCAGCAGTCTTGGCCTAACCGCAGAAAGATGAAGTACTTGCATTTCTTCCCCTCCTCTCTGCCAAGGCGACTGTACATTGTTGCTATAAATAGAGCCGCTCCGGATCCCAGCTTCTTTTAACCTTGGAGAGAGACAACTCAGCCACTGTACCAGCAAAAGAGGCGAAGGGCTGGTGCCACCTAGAAGCCTCTGGATGCCACAGGAGTTTCCTCCAGCCCACGTGCCTGCCCAGGTACGGCTGCCTGCACCGCTGCTAAAAGCACTTACTCAGAACTCCTGGCAAACCCCATTTGCCCGGCACGCACACAGCTGGGATGCATGTCCTGCTAACGCAAAAGCTGCATCAGCAAAAAAGCACAAGTTGGAACTGTGGCCAGAAAAAGCTTGCTGCAGTCTGGAGGCGAGGGGGAGTTCTTGGTGCCTGCTGTTGCAATTTGGAAAGATAAATATAGAACTACTGAATTTGGTTTGCGACCTCATGAGACTCCCTTCCAAGGTCAGTGCTTCAGCAGTGGAGGTCGGACTGCAACTACCACTGAAGCAAGCAGTACACCTGCATGCAGGCGGTTTTTATTACAGGGCTTTGCTCTTGTATTCTGATCGTAACGCTCGAAGCTGTGCCAAGCTGGCCTTGTAAACGCAAGCCACGCCTATTTTCCATCTGGTAGGAGGAGATTAAAGAAAGCAAGCCCCTGTCTTTTAAAAAAGTAACTGGCAGATCTTGCAAAACAGTAACTACTTCCCACTCCAAGAAGATTTTGACAGTTTTGAGCTAAAAGATGAACTAATGCACAAGATTGAATTCTAAAATTTCAGATGACACGGTTACAAGATCCAATCACGTGGATGCCTTGCAGCAGTAGCAGGCAGCTCCGGAAGCGCGCATTCCAAGCAAGAGCAGTGGAATTGCGTAGTCGGGGCACAGCCGTCCCAGTGTCAGCGGCGGTAACAAAGCACAAAGGTAAGACAGCTGGACTCGCACCTCGGCAGTGCTCGTACAACGCATTTCAGTGGAGATGGAGCCACGATAGAAAGAACTTGGGAACTGAGCAGAATGTGTTCGTAGCTGGAAACATAACAGTGTTATCTCCGTTGTGCAGAGAAGTAACAGTTGGAGGTGGGAGGGCAGCAGAGGATTTGGACACCTTTAGCCCCAACCATCAATGTTTAAGCAATTACCAAAAAAAGATATAAACACTGGGGTGACAAGTAAGCCCTCTTCCAAGAAACAAAACTAGTCAAGCAAGAGGGAAAGCAACACTCTACAGCTATTCCTTCAACAGATGGCTGCCATGAAGCAACATGGATGCTGCTGCCATGTGCAATGGACAAGAGGAACATCAGGTCTGTGTGCGAGCACACAAATAATCATCACCACTCAAGTTCTCATAGCAAAGCCTCCATTCCCTGGAAGCATGCTATAAAAGGGAACTACGATAACAGTAACAAGAGAGCAAAAGCATTTGAAATTCTCATCCTTTAATGGTCAATGATAACTTCTGGCTGGTTCTGTGTAATACAATTAAACAATATACTTAAATGTTTCCCCCCAGGAAAAAAAAAAAAAAAAAGAAGCTCTCACACCCCCTCTTTCTATAGCTTTCTTTCGTCGACATTCCACTGCTGCATTGGACTCCCATGGCCTAACATACAGCTCTCAAGTTACCACACATCCACATCTTAAGTGTAATGAAGAACTGAAAAACCTTGGTGCACCAGTGATGTGTTATTTTAAAAATAACAGCTCTATTAAACCAAATCCTTCCCAGTCTCCACTGCTTCTCAAAGAGGAAAAACAAAATGTTACTGTGGGAGTCTTAATACACTTGTCTTTGTGGGTTTCTCTCTTCCCTGCTGAAGTCATACAGCATAGAGTTCATAGATCTTCTTTACACAGTACACCAGGGCAGCGAGTGCTATCGTGTTATGCAGTCTCTTTCTGTGCAGGTCGTCCTTCCTCACCAGCACCACCGGAGTGGAGGAGGTGAGCGTATGCAGGGGCAGGCGGGAAAGTTTATAGGCATCGTACTCTACTTGGTACTTGCAACAGGGATCAAATTGCCAAGAGATACCATAAAGGGTGCAGCAAGCCACGCTCAGCACACCAGCAGGCAGGGAGATGTAGTGAGAATAATCTACTGGAAGTGCCAGCGGGGTGAAGAGACAAGTGGTGCCCGCTAACACGGCCGTCTTGTGCAGGCAGTTCCCGACAGTGATCCAGCGGGCCGTCTCATCCCCAATGCGAGTGGGCTCTATCACTATGTATTTGTACTGCGCTTCCAGGGCCTGCTCCAGCTCATACTCAAACTGGTCCTGAGCATTCTCTCCGTTGTAGATCTCGTGCACGATGTAACAGTCCGTGGAGGACAAGGTGACCCTGTTAACAGGAAACGCAGAGTTAAAATTACAGAGCTTAAAGGCGGACTTTTCACCCAGCCAGCTGTGAGAACAGGAGAGAAAACAGCCCAAAGTCAGGGCAGCCCCTCAAGGTCAGTCACTGCCTCTGTTCAACAGCAGGCAGCCTTTTCGAATCAAGATTCATTTCACAGCAGCTAATTATGCCTGCTGTACATGAAGTCATCCTAAAATAAGGCAACGTATGTCTCCTTACCTTTTCCTAACTTGGAGGAACTAGAACATTTTGAGAAAATGGGATCTTGTTAACAACCCTGAAGCAGTTCCTCACGCTGATACCCAAACAGTTTCTCTAGAGATACTGGAAGTGTCACACCTTAGCGACCACACCGCATCAACGCACGAGCCATACAGACTTCAGGAGTTTTTACAGAAAATAAGACTAGCAACTCATCCATCAAGACGGCAAGTTGCACTGGAAGGTTTTAAGAGAAGAAGCATCTTCAGATGGTTTGCTTTCTCCCTGCAATAACTACCTCCTTGCCGCTGATGCAGCTTGCTATTTAGTCCTCCATACTAAATCCAACCTAGTAAATCTGTAGTAAATCCAACAAGGATGGCCAAGAAACATTGCTGGAAGTGAAGGTGAAAAAGGTAGCAGAGCACTCTGTTACAGAATGGTTCACTCCCTCTCCTGAAATAGGGCACAGCAAAGCAAGAAAGGAGCATTTTGGGTTTTTTTTAACCCAGGCAGGCTTTAACAGTGAAAAAAAGAGCGGCTCGCTTACCCTGGAGCAGGCTGCCTACTCACCGGGGATTCACAAGACTTGTACATCCCCCATTTGAGTAGCAGCTTTTAGCTACCTGAAGTCACACCAGCTCCCACCTTCCCTCCACCCTCTTACACACATCACCTCAGCTGCAGCTACATTAATGTCACAGACTGATAAGAAATAGGATTACGACTGTTTACCTGCGCTGAGAAAGGGTAAAAACCTATCCATTAGAACAAGGCAAAATCCTCCCTTCTAAGCAGAAGAAATAACTATTTCTGACATACTTGTGCTTCACCAGAGCAAAACTGAGCACGTGGCTTCTCAAGGATAAAAATATCTAGCAGATTCCTTTAGCAGAAGGAGAACAAATCGCACGCATATTTGACCTAATCGCAGCAGACAAAACCACCTCAGCCCAACAGCTTTTAGACCCTCCCGATATTGGGAGGCAAGACGCTGCTGAGATGGAAAATGAAGCTTGCACTTTTTGCTCCATTAGTACAATGGTACTTATGTGCATGCACTGGAAAATAAGGCAGAAAAATACACATTTGCAAGCTGCTGTGTTACCAGACGTTACCCTTAATGTGCAGCTCCATTCATGCTGCAAAGGGTATCGTGCAGTGGCCATGTGTAATCAAGAATATTCTTAAATTACAAGCTGTTGCCAGAAGTAGCTGCTTTTGTGAACAGTGGCAAACATGTCAAACAGCAGGACCTAAGATGCACCAGCCCCTCTCAAAGCAGAGTAATAACCGGTTTCATTAAAAGTCTGGCTGGAATTTATATAAACTACAGGGAAAACAGTTATTGAGTTCTCTGTAGTGCATTTCCCCCTCGGCCTGTTCATGGGTAGAAGGAAAAATAAAAATCCACCTGAATGCTGTGTATGCCAGGGGCTTCTTTAAGGCCATCATCTTGTCAGACATTGGTTGTAAAATTGTGATTAACCCTTTCAGCACAGGATGTGGCAGGCTCTGACGTTCTGTAGTGAATTGGCAAGTATTTAAAGAAAAAAATTTGAAGGACAGCACCTATATAAAAATCTTACAGAGAACTAGTTAACCAGGTGTTATTCTAATACATCAAGGACACAGCTGGTAATGGTTTCTGCCAAGGATTTTTTTTCTTGGTGACAACTGTCCAAAGTGCAGCTTCTTCCAAATCAAAAATTCCAGTTTCATTACAGAAGACATGCTGAGACTTAAGGTAACTCTGTAAAAACACCACCAATGAATATGTGAAACCACTTGCTAAGGCATAATGACTTCAGGGAAGAGCTATTGCTGAAAGGCACTTTCAAGCTGGAAGCTGACCCAGTGCTAACACAACCCTCCAGATAAAATTAGCGTTTTCTACCAAGGACCATTTTCAGCTTTTTGTAACACCTAGGAACGCGCCGCATGGGTCTGCAAAACTGTCGTGGTTTAACCCCAGTCAGCAACTAAGCACCAGAGAAGCAGAATCCAAATTGAACTAAGAACACAACAGCCTAGTCACCCTAGGCTCTCCGTGCCATCGTTGGCAAAACAAGGGTGAAGCCAGCCCATTTCTTCTCTGCCTGTACAAGAGCCATGGGGACTGGGCTTCTAACTCTAGGAATTAAGTCACGTAACTACATTACATGGGATTTCTCCAGGCTCAGCATCAGCACACGTGGCACCAACCTATTGGCCTCATTTCTCCTCACTCGGATCTTGCCTGTTCTTCCCTCCGAATATCCTTTCTTTCCTTTCACCGTAACGTACACAGAGCCATACCACAAGCAACAGCCTCCTGTCAAAGAGAGCAGGAATCCAACAGACTTTGGCCAGCAGCAGTACTGCCCATCTTTTCTGGAATCTTTTGGTTTGCCAGGCTCTGGGGCTTTATAACAGTAAAGTCAAGAAAAGCAGAATCCTCCTACGCCAAAACAAGCAGATCTTAAAATAAGTTCTGTTGAAAAAATCAGTGAGAAATAAACTGCACAAAGGCTTCATACCTGATAAGAGTCCAGCCCCTTAACTATGCTGTTTCTCCAAATTAGTCCTCTAACATGGGAATACATCTCTACCACAGTGCTGAAGCTGCAAATGGCAAAATGGGCAATCCAAAAACAAAGGACAAAGAATGAAAAGTTAGCTGCTCAAACAATAGGACGCATGAAGAGTCAGCAACGCAACCAGAAAGTCTCCATTTCTGTAACACAGGAAGTGGGGTTTATCGCATATTTTCCACAAGAACTGGCTGCCCCTGGAGGATGGAAAGCTGAAAACTGGTTTGTTTGCAGACGATATAGAAAGAGACGCAGATGAGATATGTGGGCTTGAGAAGGTTTTCAACCTTGCTAGCATGCGGAGTAGGACAGAGGACCTCAATCCACAGAGGCAATCTCTCCTGACACAGCAGCTGCACACGAGCAAACCCAGTCAAAGCAACTAGGTTTGCTCAAACACTGAAGGCTATGGAGGTGGCCTTTTGGAGCTTGTCCCCCACCCCCCAGCAATGACAAACAAAAATGCAGAGCTATGCAATCAACTCCAAGCTAGCATCCTCTGGTTATGAAGTGTGGTGATTTTATATAAATTCCATTATACTTAAAAGAATAGTAAATAACCAGTATCAGAGAGGATCTAGTTCCAGAAGTCATAAAATGGTGCCACATGTCCAGAAGCCCAGCATGCTTACTAGACAGACCAGCACCTAAAAGCAGTTGTTAATATTATTCAATCAAATGCTTTTCCCGGACCTGCCTAAACCCCCCCCCCCCCAAAAAAAGAGGGCTACATTAAAAAGTTGTACAGCTGTTTTCTAAGGATAGTCCTGGACCTTATATCCAAACAGTTCATTCTATTGCAGCTTCACACATTCTATTCTTGAGAAATTTTAAATGTCTCATTCCTGGTACCAACGGCATGCATAGATGGGGGAATGTGACAGTGCTCAACTATTCAGCATAGAAAGATGAAAAAAAAAAAAAAAAATCACTGATGTAAAATTTTGGTCTTGCCAAAGTTATAAATAAGGGATCAGTTGTTAACAGAGCTACCACCAGCAGGAGGGGCAGAAGTGTCTGTCTTAGCTATATGGCAAGCTTCAAATTACATTTGGATTATCTTCCTAACATGGGAATATCAGAGAGCACCAGGAGAGGGGTGCTGCAGCTGCCTGAACAATAGCAACTCCAAGCCATTTCCCAGTTACAGCCCTCAAGGCAGCTCCATTTCTCTGCCTCCGACTTGGAAGCAGTCTCCTAGCTGCCTCCTGAAAACAGCAGCCCGTCTGTTAAATACAAGTTTCAATTGGATACTCTTTATGGGTGAAGACATAAATACCCTTCTAAGGAGAAGGCACGATGCCACTCAATGTGAAAAGACCTTAAGTTTTGCCAGGTGCCAACTGAAAAAAAGAGAAACAAATGAACACAGTGCTGAAAACAGGGCAGATGACTACACCCTGGAAGAAACCCCAGCATCCTTCTACCACTGTCCACTTGCAGGGGAGAATGAGCCTCATGAGTGCGTTGCTCTCAGCCTAATGGTGTTCCTCGATCTGCCAGACAGACTTTTGGTGAGGGTTTCAAGTCGTCCAACTATCTCAGTTCTGCAAAATGTTCAGAATCACAATTAGAAACAATCTCAATCTGCACAAAGCACAGGTACAGTTCTGTGCAAAAAAAGTTATTTTTAACCCCCTCCCGTAACACGTAGCTCAAGTTGTGTTTGGTTTTTTTTAAAGAACATTCCTGGACAACAGGATTGCTCAGAGCACCAAATGTACATTCAGATTAACTGTCAATGAAGACCAGTCTGACTAGTAGTTAAAAAAAATACGAAAGGAGAGGCTTGCAGCGGCGTGATAACGCCTGTCACAAGCAGCACACACACACAAAAAACCTAGTTTAGCAATGCAACAACGACTTCACGCTGGCTGTGCAAATGAACTGTAGAAAAAGGACATTACCAACGGCCAGAGCACAGTGTCTGGGGTCATTATTAGCATCTCGGACAAGCTTGAGCAAGTCAATAAAGTCAAGGCATGACGAATTCAAAAACTAAACTGCCCTCCTCCCAAATCCTTCCTGAAATTTAATTTAATTTCAAGATTAAGGCATGAGCTGTGGGCTGGCTTTAATTCTCAGTGGAAATACTCCACCTCAAAGTCATATTCAACAGTGTCTTTTCCTATGCAGGGAGCTCCAGGACATAGCACACAGAAAGTACTAACACAGCCGAGCTTAAGCAGCGGCAGAATTGTTTCTCTGCTGAACGTCCACATGATCTACCAGTCTCAGGCTATTAGCCACAGCTGTCGGGCCTATGGCTTCTTAGAGACCATTCTCAACAGGTTGTCAACGCATGCGTTAAAGCGGAAGAAGAACCGGAAAATCATAGCAATAAAGCAAGACTTCTGTTTAAAACATATACCTTAAATACAAATAGGAAAGAGAAGAGGAGAACATAGGCGAGATCTTCAAGCAGCCTTTGCAAGGGAAGACAACACTAGGAAAACATCACCGGACCGTAACAAAAAACTCCAGCCACCAGAGCAAAAAGAGGTGTCAATTTTAAGTCAACTAATGATTAGCCAGGCTAATGGAAATAGGTCAATCATTGCTGTAAGCAAACAGAGTACCAGAAATCTGAGCAGTGTAGAGAGTGAAAGGAGAGACTTCTTTAAGGACGCAGAGAAGCCAGTACAAGCAGTGGTGATGACATTAAAGCTGTTCTTTCTGGAGTCTGTTAGAACATCTTCCAGGGGAACAAACTGCATTCTGTTTTGTGTTCTGGCGGTCATCGTGCTGAATTTCATACAAAAACAATAAGTACAATTCAAAAAACAATAAGTACAATTCAGTGCCTGTTCTGTATAAAAAAGTTGTTTTGGTCTACAGATTAACAATTCCCTTTAGACAGTCTCCATTAAAGAGTCTATCCAGAATGAAGAAAAAAAAAAATTTAGTTGGGTTTAGTCAGTGTTTTGGGTTATTTTGTTTAACCTTCTTATTTCACCACCGGAGCGCCAGCTGGAGTTCACAGCCAACATCCTTTGAAATTAATGTCCTAACGTTTAGTCCTATTGAGGAAAGCACTTTTTGACCAATTGCAGACTTCCTTATATCAATAAGGTCATTTATGAAGGGATACAGTCTCCACAGACAGAGTTGCTGGACTTTTCTGTTTTTAAATGAAAGCTGGTCTAGTCTAATAACAGACAGTATTTTATTCACTACTGAGCCTCCTCACACCACCTCCCAACACACAGATCCCTTTTAGACTAGCTGGCTGACAACTATAAAACCTCCTTGAAGCAGCTTATTTATGAGGAAAGCTGGATTAGCATATTCAGTTCAGAGGAATGTGTCTTTGGACAAGAATCCTGCCCAGTGTAAGAAAACTGTATTCACCGTATAAAAAGCCTATGTCATCACTTGATGACATCAGGTCTGTCAGCACTGCCTTTTACACAACTCGCGTTGCCAGCAAACAAGATCGGTAGGTCTGATTTAGCATTAGCCACCGATGGAGAGAGGCAGAGGCCCAGTCATGCCTATCTCCAGCTCTACAATTGCAAGGAAGAAGTAGCACCTAGCTGACATCACCCCACACCTATCAGAAGTATGATCTTCCGTCACGTTCGTACAGGATGACACCTAAAAGACCCACCATCTTTTGACAGGGATTGTGAAACGCTGGTCAATGGTGTATCTGCTGTTCTGCTGCATCGTTTCTGTGCTTTCTTATACTTAGCTATATACTTCTCATGGCCAAAGGGAAAATAACAGCAGCAGGGTCATGAAGTAACTCATGTTTATGAATAAGTATTTTTGATCATAAGATCAAGAGTAATCATAGCTTAAAAAAAAAAAAAAAGCACCTCAAACTACAGTGAGATTACTGTATAGTTCACAGATTAAGTTACAAGGTAACAACTCACTTTTAAGTCTGCATCAGTTTTCACCCTGGTAGAATAATTTTCATTGATGTCATTAAGTGCTTTTCCATATTTTTTTTTTTCCTTCACTTCTGCTGGGAGGACGGGCCTACCACATGAAAACTCCACACCTTGTGTGCTAGCACTGGGGCAGGTGCCAGCACTGGGCGCAGACAGCTTTACCACCATGCCACTGAGCTCTGTGGTATTCTTAGTTGTTTATATAAACTACACTGATGCAGTAATTCCATTGGCTCTTCCAGTTCAATTACTTTTAAAATCCCCAAACACAGACAGCATTCCTGCAATTCACATTAGCGCCAGAATTTTAAGGGCTACTTGTGGCTCTCCTTGGCTATGTAGATTCAACACCATCAAAAAGAATATTGTCGAATTACAGCAAAGGAACAAAATGAAGCAAAAGCCACAGCAAAAATGACGAGAGATATCCGAGTCTCTAGGTAAGGCGGCAGGACAAAAGAAAACTCCGCACAACAAAAATGCAGCAGCTTTCAGCAGCTGCTGGTTATGTCAGTCAGCCCTAGGGCAAAACAGGGAAAATGCCAACATAAGGAAATACAGGATTTAACCAGACGTTTTAAGTAGGTAAAGAACTGTGCATACAGATTTTAGAGCAGCTCGACAAGATTTTCCTCTGTCTCTTTTTCCTGTTTTACAGTTATGATTCCCAAACTTCTACAGCTACTCCGTGGGTAGTTCCAGCACGTCCTAGCTGCTCCTCCGTCCTGACAAAGGCAAAGAGAGAGCGGTACAGAGCTCTCTGCCACAGGCCCAGGA